CTATGACCCGCAATTACCTTAGCCTTCGGAATATTGACCCGTGCATCCCCGTACATCCTAAACCTAAAGCCGATAGGGGTTATAGCGCAGCTAACATGGCAGCAAGCAGGGGAACTTCCACACACCCTTTCAACGCCAGCGTAAGCCGACTTGTAGCGCATACTTCAAGGTGACATGTTGGCTTAAATATGCGGCATGGCTGCCTGCGGCAATGTGTTTGACTTTCTTGACCATGTCTTCGCTTTGATAATTAGATCCATACCTGGGGTTCAAATTGCTATCAAGAAACGCGTGATCCGTATAATGATGCTTTGGGCGATGTGCCCATCGACACACATTCCGCGACAACGCATCCTCACTCAGCCTACTCCAGGCCGCATGCCAAACCAGCAAAAGGTACTCGATCTCGGAACGAGCTTCCTTCGGAAGCACCCGTCCGTTCTCCAAGCAGATCTGCTCAATGCGCGATAGCGCAATGACCACCCCTGCGCGTAGCCTGATCTCCGTACCAGAAAAGTAGGAAATACTTCTATCACATTTACTTATAAGAGAGGAGGGTAGTAGCATGGAAAATCTAGCGTTGAAGACTCAAAAGGGTGGTTAGGATATTCCAAACATGGCATATACAAGAAACAGTGCAGCAAACAAGCTTATTGCACAATGCTGAAAAGGTACTCGTAAAAGGCGTTGCCAGGACTTGATTCATGAAGCCAACGGAGCAACTGGGCCATCCAAAAAAGAGCATAGCGAGCGGCGGTCGCCGAAACGTATTTCTGCGACAGCGAAATGTATTCTTTGGCATTGGGGCGAAGACATCCGACAGTAAACACTTTTCGCAGCACACGATCGGGCACTCCTCAGGGTTGCATGATCGGAGCAAAAAATGGGGAACAACACTAGGGATTGAAATCCGTATACGAGAATTATTCGTTGATTTACCATTTAAAATATGGTATGATCATTGCGCAGATAGGGTTTGCCAATTTATGGTATTCATTATTTGCAGCCTAGTATAAAACCCCAGAATTCATTCCCACAAGACGCCTTGCTCATCACACCAGGTTTTGTACGCAGTCCGTAAATCACCAAGATCCTGGTCTCTGCGTGGACCATCAGTCAAGTCCAGCAGCATCGAATGCAGAATGTCAGGATATATCGCCAGGTGCATTAAATGCATTGGATCCCCGAAGATTCCTTGAGCAAATTTGCGAAGAAATTATAATTCGGAATGTATTTCTTTTCTTGTACAAAACTTGGAACCCTTATAATTGCTGCTGAGTAGCGATATGGGGTGAAGCGGGGCACCAAGGTCATTGGGGAACTGCCGTGAATCCTTCGGAATTCGTCAGCACCACTGATCAACCTTAGTGATAGACTTGAGTGTTTAGGATTCATAGGGTTTAGGGTTTCCAAGTTCACAGACTTTACAGGTTTTAAATCTTCAGAATGAATGCATCTAGCGGTAATGCCGAGGGGCGTGCTTCTGTGCGCAGCTTGGGGGTGGAAGTTGGTATACAATAACTCGCTGGCATTGGGCATTCCGTCGGGATCGCCATGTGCATATGTCCATTGTAAAGCCTTGAGGAGAATGAATAGGGTTGAAGGTATCGGGCTAATTGAACATAGTGAACCAATAAAGGGATTCTAAGTTAAGATATTTGGTGCATAAACCCTGCCTCGCATAAGTAGCAACACATTTTTCTGGTATAATCACCTGAAGTGGGGTCTAAACTTGTTTCCACTGGGTTCAAAATCAAAAACTGGTATTACACATTCGCGTGGGCAGCCTTGTCTAGAGTCCAGACCAGGCACGCTGCAGTCCAAAGACTTTTTTCACATACTCCATATCGGCCTGTAGGCCGTCATACACTCCAAGAAACTGGGCCGCGATCGGCCGCCCTGCCAATCGTAGTCTATCGGGATAGTAATCACGAGTGAATTCGCGTCCCCAAGGATCGCATGCTGGGTACCGGCCAGATCCTGAATCAAATATACAGCCACAGATAACCTTTCTACGTGTTGATTATTCTCCAACCTGAAACAGCGCCCAACTGAATCACAAGACAAGGTTCCAAGAGCTTCAAATGACCAGCGGATCACTTGCAAGATCAGGGTTCTCGAAGACTCGGAGTGATAGTTCATACTTATACAGGACAACCTCGGATCATCTGCTCAAGGTGCATGGGTAGCCTGCGTGTTTCAAAGACACATTTCAGCAGCGTCACAAAAACCGGGAATCCAGAGTGGCAGCATTGCCAAGTGGGGCTAGAAGAAGCATCACCTCGAACTTCTGTTTTCCTTGGATTACATTTCGTCAAATATAATCCCCTATACATGAATGATTGATTTAGCCAAGGCCTTTTAATCTGAGATGCTTGTGAATTCCGCTCCATCCCCGTAGAATCGAAGAGGAACACATTGCGCCAGATCATCTGCCTGTATGGGATCGATGTACGTAGATATTGCCTATGGGCTTGCAATGGAGCCTGCTGCAGAACTGGATGCGAGCTCTGCCACTCCGGGTCTTGTTGGGTCCAATATTCTCGAACCTCGCTCAATGACAATACTTATTCCAAAAATGAATCAGCTGCTTCAGCTAAGGGGCTGCTTCTGCACCAGGGTATACAAGGTCGAAATGGTTCGTGTCATAGAGGCTTCCAATGATTTCATGGGGCAGGAACATGTTGTGATTCACAGCACGTGTGGTGCGGCCATGCGAATCACTGTAGACCTTAATTGCACCGGATGTGGACTAACTTTCCCATGTTTGCTTTGTGAGTTCACACTCTCATTTGGGACCCACGCAGCAGTGAGCCCAATCCTCAGTTGTTTGGATGGCAAAACCAGAAATGTTCAGCTCGATATGATATGGCTTATTTGATGAAGTCACAAGCCATAATTCAAATCAAGTTTCTGAAATGTTTTCGGAAGTATTTTTCTCCAGGGTTGCTTCGCAGTCCATCGCGTTAGAGCTCTCATCTGACCCCACGCATTGACGTTCCCCCTGAAGGCGATCGCCAACTCTAGGAGATCTTTCCTGGGTGCAATTGAAGAGTCCAAGGTAATCTTCAAGCAGTCAAGACCGAAGCAGATCGAGGCCCCAGTCAAAACAAAATACATATGTGCAACCAAGGCACGGAACAATTGAATGAGGAATGTCATATAATCGAGCCAAGGCATCTGATAATTCTGTCAGGAGCACCTGCCATTGCATGAAAAGTATTAGAGCCACAGATTTCTAGAAAGCTTTGGGGTTTGGGGTTTCATAAGCGCCTGGCCAGTAGAAAGTAGCCGAAGAATCTGATCGCAAGTGTCTTGGACATACGATTTCAACCAATCGGCAGGATCATGATCATGACCATAAGGGCGGCTGGAACTACTTGACATTCCATTCAGCAGCACAGCCACAAGCGATTATGATGTTGCCCTGCAACTCTCATTTTCCCGTCTTGTGGGTAAGGCTACATATTCCAGGGATCTACGATTACGAGCTTGCATTTCAGGATTTTGGCCTCTTCATTCACCACTAGAGATTCAATAGCCTAAGCATATAAAGGATGGACATTTGGGTTTTAAGGTTTGGGATATCGATCTGAAGGGGCTGCAAGCAAGCAATGTTTGATCTGAGGATCGATGCTCATGATGCAAACTGGTGCCATTCGGGAAGCGGCTGCATGCGCGAAGGCCGGAACATTCTTTTGCATCCCATGACTGGCGCGCGCTCTCGAAGGTTTGAAGGTAAACCCCTAGCAGGTTTGCATGCCGATAAGACATGTCTTGCCCGCACGGCAGTCTAGTGTAAGGGCACTCCAGCTTGATGAGGACCTGTAATTAAAGCCTATACGAGGAACTTGCGAGTTTAGAGGTTACCCCAGTCCCATTCATTCCAACCAAGCGCCCTCAGACTGCTCCCCAACCCTACTCACAAACATTTCGGTTCTCAGTTCCTGTTCTTTTTGGCAGGCGGACACAGCTCCTGGTCATCCTCGTCGCCCCACCCATGATCTTCTTCAGGCGCCCCGTCTTCAGCATAGTCATCTTCACCCAGATCATCTTCATCTTGGTCCATGGCTGCTTCATGCTCATGGCCTCCCTGATCCTTTAGGCGTTGCTTTTCCTCGGCCTTTTCTTTTTTCTTCTTGGCAGCAGCCAATCCTGGCTATAGCACATAGCTTCGAAAGATTTCTACATGATTGTCACAGACACTAAGAAGATTCAGTTAAGGGGCGGCGCATGTGGGAAATCCAAATGTTCTCCGCTTCCGTGACCGTGGTAGTGTACTCCTGCAGTAGCATTTAGGCGAATCCATTATAAGTCCTTCCAAAAAATCCCTTTCAAGTCCTATAAGTTCGTTAACCTATAAACCCTGAAACCCAGGCTTGGGATTTAGGGTTTGAGGTTTAGTGTTTAGAATTTAGGGCTTGGGGTGTTTAAAGGGTTCAGGGTCCTCCAGGTTCCGTCTCTCAACATCCAGCTCGTAGATGCAGTCATTCAAGGGCTTCGCTGCAAAGACCATTTTCTGGATGCTGCCACAGGGATGGATTCAGGGAGACCAATTTGCCCAAAATCAAAATGCGTAGCATATTCCCTAAAATAACCATGAGCCTCCTAAACCCTAAACTTCATGTCCCCACCGAATACGATCCCAAGCCTTCCATGGATCTCCGTACACCTTGCAGAGATCCAGCCGAGGTTCGTCACAGTGGCCTACATGCATGATCCACGGCGGGCATTTGAGACTATAGGACGAAATGAGATCAATAAAGCCTCCTGGTTCTTCAGGCCACAGTTGCCCAAGCCCGAAGCCACTCCAACAGCTTTGTCGGATAAGTTCCGTACCCTTAGCTTGGCATATGTGCATTGATAGACTTCTTGGGGGTATCATTTAAAAATTGTCATGGACTGAGCGGGATACTGGGCTAAATCACGATTGAACTCCCGGCGGATCTTCTCATCCTCAGGAATCTCCTGTATGGGTTGCAAACATAGATCATCAAATCTCAAACGCAAAAAATATCATGAACCCAGCCTTCTTCGTTTTGGCTTCCCTCTTCTTGGTGTTGTTGCTGTCGCTCGAGCTCGGTCTGCACATTGCTGCTGCCTTGGCCTCTAATGTTTCTGCAATTGCAGCCCGCTCTGCACGGTTCCGAGACGGAGCCACCGAAGCTTGCGTACGTGTCCCACTTCTCGTGATATTCGCACCTGGGATCCCGGGTTTCCATAAAGACTACTATAGGGCTTGTGGTTGTACCTGAATTGAAAACGCAAGGGTCACAGCAGGGGGCACGCGCAATGGGGCCCAGCCAAGACATGAGTAACAAAGCCCAGGCACTCGTGATGGCAACTTGATCAAAGAGTTTGTAGATCTTCCACTCATCATCATCATATTGTGGGTGTTTCCTTCCTTTCTGGCCTTCATTGGTCGACGTATACAGCTTGGGAACAACATATGTGTACACAAATCATTGGTCAGGACAGGCCGCTGGAAATCAGATTCTGCCCAAACTTGTCCCCGCCAGGAATCCCATCATATTTTTGTCGAATCATGCAGAGTGGAAGTTCAACGTAGCGCTCTTTGTTCTTGTCTTCCGCAAGCCTAAGCCGCAGGGATAAGCCAATCTCGGTTCCTAGGTTATATAGTTATCATATGCAGAAAATAATGTAGTCTATTTGTGATGATGGCAGGGAACTCTTCGAAGTACGGCTGGATCGTGATGCTGGCCATTTCTCTGTCTAAGAGAAATGCTTTCAGAAATTGAAACCTTAGTCTAGGGGTCAGGGGCTGAGGACTATGTAGTTGTAGGAATTACAAAAGGATTTTAGATTCTACCTGAGGACTTGGCTTTTCCAAATTGCCTTGCGCTGCTTTCCATTGCTCTACCAGGCCTTTGCGCAAACCTGAAGCATGTAAATGTATGCATGAAGGGCGGCTGCACATATTCAACCACTACATTCGGAAACGAGGGAGCCTGTAGGGGCCTGCATTCTTCTCCTGAGACCCTCATTCAAGCGCTTCCTCTCCTGTAACGGTATGTCTTCCGGGCAGCTCAAAGCCTCAAAGCACCACGCAGTAAAACAAGAAAAGACATAGAGTGATCCAAGGTTACTAGCCTCAATCCGCCTTTTCTCATCCTCAGTGAGATTGCGAACCTCGGATTGCATTACATATTTCAGACTGCCGAGCTCACGCAATGTGCCCAAAATTATTCAAGCCAAGTAGCCTCATTCGGGCTGCCCCGGAATGTAAAGGATTTTGCTAGAGGCTTCATTTCCACAGGACCACTTCCATCACTCAGTTGGGAAATGCCAGTATCGCTGCGAAGCAAGGGCCTGAAACTGTCAGAACTATATTTACACCTAGCCTTATAAGCTTTATAAATCTTAAAGTTTCAGTAGTGACCTCAAACATAGCATAAACCGTATATTGACCCCAAATCCGAAACAAAAATGTCCAAGGATAATGCTGCCGAGCTGGCCTTTTCTCGGAATCGGGCGACGTGCTGGAATCTCCTCCTGCAGGGTCAGGTTTGTAAAGGGTCGAATGATAGGATTTGTACGGCTTAGGCATATATTAAGGGTTTTAGCACCTAAGGTTCAGGGCTGAGCATTTCAGGGTTTGAAGCTCTATAGGCGAGAGAAAGACTTCAATTAGCGCAATAACAGTACCAAACAAGCTCAAAACCGGAAGCCATGACCTGAAGTTCCCTGAAATGGTTGGGTTTGCCTGCTGTCCTGTGTTTGTTGAAACAGCGGAATCGAAGGAAACGCGTCTCCGAACAGAGCGATCTGGTGTCTCCTTTTCTGACCCAGCCGTTCTCTTGAGGATCCCTGCAGGCGACGGTGTATGGTCGTCGGAGGCTTTGCTGGAAGGTTTGCCTTTGCCTTTGCACTTGCCCTTGCCGGGAGCTTGGCCTTTGTTGCTTGCACCGTTGCCTTTGGCATCTGGGCTCACTGCTGCGGAACCTTTGCTGCTCGGGCTCACTGCTGCGGAACCTTTGCCTTTGCTGTTCGGGCTCACTGCTGCGGAACCTTTGCCTTTGCTTTCAGGGCTCACTGCTGCGGAACCTTTGCCTTTGCTTTCAGGGCTCACTGCTGCGGAACCCGTGCCTTTGCTTTCAGGGCTCACTGC